AAGTTTGGCAAGCTCTAGATGTAAGGGAAACGTAGGGTTCAGCCTACAGAGCAAATAGCGCTAATTATTTGTAGCATAGGAGCAGTCAGAGAGCAATAGACTGGTCAAGTGTGACTAGATCACGGTTCGTCGTCGCGCAGACAAACTTGGAAATACACCTTTGTCAATGCGCAGCGAAAGCTGAAGTACACCTCAGCCATGTTCTCCAAAAGTTTTAATGACATTCGTTATCCAGGGGGTAAAGGGCATGAAAAAGCCATTCGAACCTCTTTAAGTCCTGCGTGTACACCAAATGCCGCAACCGCAGGTGTAACCGACTCCTCGCAACCGCAGTGGTTCTAAATAGCTGGAAACGGCAAAACGGCAAAACGCCACCGCCGCGTAAGGAAAGCAGATCTATGGCGCTGACTTGCGCGAAGCCGCTATCCATCACCAGCGTCTGTACAGTGGCAGTGCTTGGCAGCATGTCATTCACTGCTTGCAAAGCCTCCCTGTAGCTAGCGCACGTCTTATTTGGCAACAAGGTGGCAGGGGAAGAAAACGCAACCTTGGTTACGTCCGCGAACGTACAGTGAAGTAACAAGTGGCCGCCATAATGTAATGGATGCTTCGCAGCCGACAAAATCACCTCTTCGGATCGTTCCACCATTGGCAACATGCTGCAGGGCACAAAAATAGCGCACGAATGTGATCCCATCGAGCAGAACATGGCATTTTCCATCCTTCTACAGTAACCCAGTCAGTTCACGGACCTTATGGGATTTCGGTTTCAGATGTCGCTACTATATTGATAGCAAGTCTTCGGTTCAGCAGCCGACCGTAATGTCTTTAAACGTGCACGCGCACCTCACGATTGCTTTTACAACTTCACATAAGTCTTGCAACCCACAACACTTGTGCCTCCCTTAATCGCCAGTTGCACACATACAGCTACGGCTTCACAATTTGAAAATCGTGACTATGCGACAAGTTACATTCTCCACGCTCAGAACACAGACCCAGCAAAACGGACAACAACCGAGCCCCTGTACCTGCAAGCAATAAATATCAGTACCTGATCAAACTTCACTTACCTCTTGAAAATATGATTTGTACAAATGCGGTACAAATACCGGAATTGCACAGAGCGGTACGGATAGTCCCGCTGTACTTCCTCACCCGTCACCCTCTCGCGGAATTACCGTGAAAATAGTGCGTCTGTAGAACGAGGAGGCTGTTAACCTTTGGAAGTTTCACACCACCCTCCAAATTTTGGTGTTTACGATAAAAGAAGAGAAAATGCGTTTAAAGGATCCTGTATCATCCACTATTGCCGCGCTTGTAATGTGAGTAAAATGTGTAGTGGTTGTGATTACGCGGTGGTGTGATTACACGATGGTTTTGACCCACTTTCGGATGTCTGTGCGCATATTGGGCCAGAGGTAAAGGTCGGTAATTAGCTTCATCGTAGATCGAATACTGGGGTGCGATAATCCATGAAGCTGGTCAAAGACCACTCGCCGGTAGGACTGTGGAACAAACGGTCTAGGTTTACCGGTGGAAATATCGCAGTAGGCCCTGGTGTCAGAATTGAGCACAGGTAATTGCAGGAGTTTTAACCTAGTGTTTGATCGAAGCTGTGGTTATTCTGGGTCTTTGGCTTGGGCAACAGACATTTGTTCTAGATCAATGGGTGAGCGTGAAAACTGATGGATGTGAGCACGGGATAATGCGTCGGCGACAAGGTTGTTAGGCCCGTCAATATAGCGAATGTCAAAACAAAATTGGGAAAGATAGTCAAGATGTCGGGTCTCTCTAGGAGAGTAACGGTCGGAAGTTGCACGAAGAGCATAAACGAGGGGCTTATGATCCGTCAAGATGACAAAAAGTCGACCCTCAAGAATGTGACGAAAATGCTTTACAGCCAGGTACGTGGCAAGGAGCGCTAGACTAAACGTACTGTACCTGGTCTGGGCAGTTTGAAGTTTCCGTGAGAAGAAAGACAAGGTTTGAATTTCGTTATCCACGGGCTGCTGCAATGCGGTACCAACGGCGAATTGTGAAGCGTCCGTCTTGAGAATGAGAGTGGCGCTGTCGTCCGTTCTCAAGTAAGCGAGTGAAGTAAGTTGGCTCAGCTTTTGCTTGACGGTGTTAAACGCTGCTTCGGCATCTGGAGTCAAGGTGAACATTTTGGGATTACCTTTGAACAAATCTGTTAAAGTTTGAAGAAGTGCAGTACAATCATGTATAAACCGTCCGTAGTAGTTGACCATGCCGAGGAAACGGCGCAGGTTTTTAACGGATTGTGGCAATGGATAATCCAGTATGGCTTGCGTTTTATCCGTCAAGGGACTAATCCCGTTAGCGCCAATTCTGTGACCTAGGAAGTCGATGGAAGCTTAGCCAAATACGCATTTGTCAGGATTAGTGGTGATGCCATGGTGCGCGAAAAGTTCGAAAAGTGTTCGTAGATGGATTAAGTGTTCGTCGGCAGAATCACTTGCAAGTAAAACGTCATCAATGTAAACAAAGACAAAGTCAAGCCCATGGTGAACTTGGTCCATGAAGCATTGGAAGGATTGCGCGGCATTCCGAAAACCGAATGGCATACGGAGAAACTCATACAAGCCAAAAGGGGTAGTCACTGCCGCTTTTGCAATAACTTCCGGGGCCATAGGAATCTGGTGATACGCACTGACAAGGTCAAGCTTAGAAAAGATGGATTTCTCAAACAATCCCAATGAAAAATCATGAATATGAGGGATAGGGTACCTGCCAGGAATGGTAATGGCGTTAAGTGTCCGGTAGTCACCGCATGGACGCCGATCACCGGACCTTTTGGCTACCAGATGAAGCGAAGAGGCCCAACAACTATTAGATGGGCAAATGATTCCGAGGTTCAGCATGTGCTCGAATTCGCGTCTGGCCGCTTGGAGCTTGTCTGGTGGAAGACTTCTCGGTTTGGCTGACACGGGTGGACCTTTGGTGATGATGTGGTGACGAACCTCGTGTTTGGGCTCGGTAGGGTCCGCATTAGAATGAACCATCGCCGGGAATGGCTGAAGCAATGATGAATACGGCGTAGTGCCTGGCGTGAGCATGCGAAGTCCGACGGAAGTGACTGGGGCGAGATGGCAAGGGACTGAGCAAAGTACTGTCGTCCCGTAACCTCCTGCAAATTAGGTCGACGACGAGGCCGAATTTTCTAAGGAAGTCGATGCCAATTATGGGTTTCTGGACGTCTTCAAGGGTAAAGATAAAGTGAAATACGCGTCGTAACCCAAGGTTTAGGTGAAAAATCTTCTGGCCGTATGTCGCGATCTTAGTCTGATTAGCCGCCTGTAACGTAAGTCCGGCTTGTTGCAGAGGGCGGTTTTTAAAGATCGTTGTATAACGCTGATTTCTGCGCCCGTATCGACCAAAAAGTAAGTTTAGTCGTGGAATCAAATACGTACAGGAGGCGACTGATAAGTTGGCCAGCGGCAGCCGTCGCCATTACTGGCTGGCTTCGACGTTTCCCGATTTGGAAGTAGCGAAAGCCCTTGGGTGAGTGCAACCTGGGCGGCAGTTTCGTGCAGCCTTACCAAACCGGTTATGGAAGTAGCAATAGGAGTGCGGTGATAGTCTGCGTGAGTTGCTGCGATGCCTGCTTGTGGAAGATGATCTTTGGTACGGTGTTCGAGCGCGGCTAAGGTGGGAAATGTTGAGTTCTAACTTTGAGAGCCCCACGCTGATGGAGTCGAGTTTGGCAGTCCCTGAACTGCTTGTCGTGGACGCCTCCACCACATGATTCACAGCATTTTTAAAGAAATTTTCGTGTACCTTATCGGCCGCTTCCGCCAGCGTAGTCAATGGAACGTCCTCAGCCAATACAACTAGTATCGCCGTCGTGTGTGTTAGAAGACACTTAAGCCGGAGTTGGCGAAGAATGGAATCATCCAAGGTTGCTGAACCGACAAGGGAACGCATATGTCGTAGGAGCTGAAATGGTGTACCATCATCAAGCTCGAGGCCGGAGAGTAGCTGTTGGAAGCGTGACTCGTCGGATGAGGTAGTGCGTTTTAAGATGGCTGCCTTAGGCTTGTCGTAAGGTGAGTCAGTCGGCATAGGGTCAAGGATATCAATGACTTCTGCAGCCACCTGTGTAGGTAAATGGGCAGTAACATGTGAAAACCTTGTAGATTGCGAGGTAACCTTACCGAAACGAAAGACAGATTCCACTTGAATAAACCAAATACGTGGGTTCGACACATCAGAGGATGGCAAAGGAAATGTTAACGGAATTTTAGGTAACTGTTCACAAGAAGGTTGAGCATACATAATGAAGAGAAAAGACAAGATATGCAAAAGAATACGGGGTAACCAATTATGTAGCGGCCCGTTATCTAATGAGTTCTAGTGCTGGGGCAAAATGCCGTCTTAAACAAAAACACAAAATAGAGGAAAAATGAATGCACTTGCGTTATAGTTCCTTCTTCAATCGATGTTAGTCCGATGCCGACTTGAGATGCTAACATATAATCCGAGTAATCGATAGACGTGGCAACAGCACAATCACCAGCAGCGGCAAAACCGAAAGCAGCAAGACGCGAGCGCGTAGAAATTGTTGTATTCAAAATTTGTGAATTTAAATAAATGGTACAAAATGATGGGTGACGGAAATGATAAAAACCAAGATAAATTACCGTGTAATCACAACCACTACAAATGAACCGCTCTTATAGTATGGCCATTATAATTGCGCTTTCACGAAACTAAAACCATCCATACTGCAGTACATATCCAAGATTATTATTGTTAGTACAATGATACTACACACTTTTAATATCCTCCAGCGACATAATGTGAAACGCCCTGGCGTACCTAACCAACAAGGCCGAATTACCTAATTTCTTGAAATGTGGTCTTACTCAGTCAGTTCCTAAACTTGTTATATAAAAATATTACCTAACGTTGGAATTTCAGTAAAGAAGATGGTTGCCGGTAATTATTTTCAAGGTTGATTTTGTTTAACTTAACTTGTCGTTGACTCACGCCATTGCTCTTGTTCGCTTTCTGAGATGTACGGACCTCGAGCTTGGGAAAAAGACCCCGCTAGGCGGTTTGGCCCACCTGGAAGGTTTCCGAGAAGGCGTTCTCGATCGCCGCCGCCACCTGTAGGTGAACGTTATCCATTTGGGGAACCTTTTCCTGTCCCACCGGTGCGTCCAGCTCCCGGATCTTCCCCATACGATCGCGCCATGCGCCCCGCTGAGCCTCCTTTTGGTGTCCGATCTAGGCCTGAGGTCTACGGGGCTTATGATGGTCGTCCACCGTATCGTGACATTAATGACGACGGATATTATAACGGTCTTCGGCGCGGAGTTGACCGAGCCCCGATGGACAGGTAATGCGCGTTGGTATCGTGATTTATTTTTAGACGTGCAATGGAACGAAGTCCTCTGCGCTATGATAAACGTGCTGCTGTTGTTGAGCGTAATGATTTCAGGCCACCAAGGTACATGATGAACGATGTTCCTGATCAATACCCACGTGAACCTCGGCGCCGAGATTTTCCTTCACCGAGTCGTGGTCTTGGGATGCCCGGTAAGTCTTAAGTCCTTTTCGAGCTCACCGATTGTATGTCGTTATATTGGCTGCGAACTCTCTTCCACGCTTCTAAGACACGAACCCTAAGATGACAACCGGCCAGGTGGTGGGCACGCTAACAAACGTGTTGGCTCCATCTCATTCGCATTATGGGGTACCTAGCTATACAGGCTTACCGATAGGCGGCGTGCACCGTGGTTCTGGTCTAAGCGTTTAAAAGCAGTTGCGACGATGTTCTATCAATAGACATTCGGGCCGCAGATGCCTGCTCCTTTGTCGGTGCAAATAGGTACATATATGTCCGCTGAATCTCGTATACTTAGCATTCGGACGACAATTCGTATTTCTAAGTAGGTTTAAGCTGCATTCACGGATGTCTACTTTTCAGTGCGATTCGGAGACTTACACCAGCATGTAGACCATCCTTGATTTCGGCCTCGGCTTCACGCTTGCGTATTCTGGGTCGTCCTCGTTAGTAAGCCTACAAGGATTAGAAACGTTTAGTGCTCGCTTTTATTCCACCATGTCGTTGCCTCCACGTTTACGGGCTCATTCCTACAGGGCTAACATTACCCTTTCAGCTCCAACAAGCTCTACGCTTTTCGTGAATCTTACCCAATCCAGCTGGTGATGTTCTATGTTGGTTAACTTTTCTTATAGTGACAAAAGTGGGGTTCCTACTTAGATCCGTCGATTGTTTCAATCTAGTAGTAGCGCTTGTCGTTATAGACGGATGCTCTTCACACTGTCACAATTGCAGAGGAAGCAACAGTGGAGTCTTCTGAGTTGGACATCAACGGTGCTTCATAAATTCACTCCGATAGGTTGTTTCAGTCCAGTTCTACTCAAATTATTGGGATTTTATAGGAACGGACCTAGAGCCTTTTTTGGTTTAAACAGCTATTCGCATGCTCATATCGATATGTCAGCGCTAAGCGTATAATGCGCCCAGCGTTAAGGTCATGACGGTGGTACTATAAAAAGCAGTTTTCTACAGTTATCTCCAGATTGTTAGGAAATCTCTTCTATGGGGTTACAAGGTGAAATTTGGGCGGAATCTGTAACGCGCGACAACTTACCACTGCCCTTTTGGAAATTTTGCATTCGCGTTTATGCTTCATTCATTGACTGCACTGGTACGCCCTTTATGCGGTGCTCATACTGGGTCTAATGCATAGTCCGTGTCGGTTGTCGTACTAATACAACATTTTCCCGACAGATGAACCTCAAGGCTACCCTCCAGAAGAATATCCACCTTTTCTGCCTCCGAAAGATTTTGGACAAGGTGATCAAAGGCCACCAGTTAGGCGTCGATCACCAGAACCGCGTTACACTTATAGAGGATCGGAAAAACCTGTGTATCCTCGCGGTGGGTGGTACCGTGGTCCTTCTCCAAATCGCTGGTAAACATGGGATAGCTTCGTGTTTTGTTGTTAAATACTGGATGTTTTATCACGCATTGAGTCTTCTGTTTTTCCTGCGGAGTGTGCGTCTTTGAGGAAACAATGTTGCTTTATCTTATTTGGTTCGGATGAACATCGTGAAGGCTTCGGCCCTACTAGTTTCTCGCTATGAGTGCTTTCGAATTTCGTGAGTAGGGTTGCGGGATTATTGCACTCCCTTGCTTAGAACATTGAATTGTTTAGTATCAGATCAAATATCGTGCCTAAGCTCGTCCAGGTTCTGCGTTTTACTCTTAACAGCCAGCAGAATAAAGCTATGCGCATCTGGTTATATTTCAAATCCTGTGTTGAGCATTGCAGTCTCCATGTAGTAGGTTCACGTACCTGTAATTGCGATTGCTTTCGTCATTTGATGCGAACGACATAATTTGCGTGCTCTTTTCCATGCGAAAATCGGACTTTTCCACGTCGTCCCGGTACCTGATTATTAAATGTGTTGAATTGTGATGGGATTCGTAGCTATTTGTTTCAAGTTATCAGCAAACTCCTTACTGATTTAGTCTATGGCGCAACTAACGGTTCGTTATAAATCCGTTATTAAAGCCGAATGCGAGCCACCTTTGTGTTAGAGTGTCGCTTAGGTCCAAAACGTTGACCGTTTGAAGCCGACGACCTTAGTTGCGCAATACTTTAGTTCTGTAGCTTTTCCGGCTAGCATCTTTCCAACTGCCTTGATCAGTCCGGTTTAATTAGCCACGCTCGGTGGGTCTTTGTACTAGTTATATAGATGAACGCGATGGCAGAATGGGTCAAAAATTCCTGATCGAAAGCACGCGTTTTTGTTCGTAATTATCGCAAATCCAAAGAAACAGCAGCAATCAACTCGATCGGACTTCATTTATGTTCATCATTATCAATCATATGCTTGCGTTTTCTCGGGTACTTGACTGATTCCGTTACAACCGCATCGGTGTTCAAACAGGCAACAAAGCTTCGGCCAAACGCTTGTCAGCATCAGTTGTGCTAAGGTGGGAAAACCAAAGCATAAAGGCTTTAATCCAAATGAGAAATCTATGGCGAATGTTGGATCTAACCCTCGGTAGCACAATCTGCAAGAGGCCGTATACTAGTCGCTAAATCCTGTTAGGAAGACGAGACTAGTCGATACGATGATTCGGCGCAGTATATCCAGTGATCAATGAGCGAGGCAAGAAGACCGCCGATCGGCACCACACCTGTAGCTAAAACCGGATGGCGAATCGAAATTTGTAGTGTTTATCGGTTTTTAGACAGTTGGAGCAAAATGTAATATAACTAATGGAAGTCAGAATAGGAAGAAATAATTGGACAAAACTCCCCTCTAGAGCGTGAGTTATTGAAGCCAATGCTCGATACTTGTTTCATACGTCTAGTCTAGAAGGGAGACCAACTGGATGTCCGAAGCGTGTTCAATGGTGTCAGTTCGATTTCGTGTCGTATGCTGCTTAGCCTTCGAGAGAGGAGACAAGTGAGCTGAGCAGAAAGCGTACATAGGAGGGTAGGCTGGTCTATGACCCAACTGTCTGGGTTTCGGCAGTGCTCGCTTAACGTAGGCCGGCTTCAAACAGTCGTTACAGCATACTGATAACAAAATCTACCCAGCACGATGTGCGTCTTTCCGACCAACGACGTTAAACGGGTTCTTATAAGTTGGTGTCCGGTTTACGGTCGGAGTCGACACGCACCAGAATGAAGACTCGAGTGCGCAAATCCTGGTGTGCCTGTTAACTCCAAAAGCTGATTCATATTGATGGACGCTTTTTGCTGAAGTGTTGCCTCAAACATGTGACGTACGAAGTCGGATCAGCTCCCCCAGTCACCATTGTGTCGAGCATCATTTCTCCGAGAACTGATAGTAGGGCCAAATACCAGCTTAACGTGACGACAGCCGATGTCTTTAATAGTGTTACCGGTACTAAACACGATGATCGGAAAACGTTCTGACCACTGTACGTTCGACCGAGGCGGTACATGCGGCTTTAACGGCTATGGAAACGTTCAACCATACTGCTACTCAGTGCTATGAGACTTCGTAGATTGGAACAACCAAGCAAGCGGTTGAAGTCTCGAAACAAGGCTGACTTGTATTGGGGCTCTCTGCGTGCCTAAGACGAAAATCCAGTTATCAATGTTCGCGCCACAGTTTTCACAAAAACCTCTCGTAAAGACACCAAGTGGCCATTGAGTACAACGATCAACACTTGTCAGTAAGTAAGCCAAACTGTTGGATGGAGGCAATGGTCCAACAATGTCAAGATGAGCTTCTTTGGAACGCGTCGTGGAGCGTAAATGTTGCGGACACAGTTGTGCGACGGCAAATGCTGTGTCTCAGCGCACATGTGCCAAATAAAGCGGTTCGTGTGAGATTCTATGCAGGTAGTCAAAGTCGATTCGGCGATACTACTTAAGGTGAAATGATCAGAGCTTGCCAGTGAACGTGTCACAGTAAGTTTATGACTGTTATGAATTGGCAGCTGTGACAATTTAATATCAGATGCACCAACTCTCCTAATGAACTGCTGTGTCCTCTAGCTTGATGGTCTTCCGTGAAAAACGCAACCTTGCATCGGCGACAGCGTTGTCAACATAAACATAGCGAATGTCGGTTTGAAACATATAATCTAAACGACCAGCTTCTCTGGGGGAGATGGTCGGATGAACCACGAAAAGCAAAGGCAAGTGGTTTTTGATCGATACCGAAGATATTTGATAGGGTGGTAGATAGCTAAAAGTTCTCGGCCACGGGTGCCATATCGCGTCTGTGTAGACTGAAGTTTGCGAGTGAAAGGTTAGGCTACGCTCTACCATCGATTACCTGTTAGAGAATGGCCCCAACGGCGGTCTGGAATTCATCTGTTTAGCATAGGAGTCGTGTCAACATCAGTTTTCAAGTGACTAAGTGCAGTAGCGTTAGATAACGCGTGCTTAATTTTGTCAAATGCATCAATTGCTTCTTGTTTTAGCCCGAATTTCTTTGACTTGTCTTTATGCAACTCGGTCATTGGCTGGCGTAGCCCAGAGTAATTTGGTATACAACAACTGTTATAATTTACCATGCCGAAAAGGCGACAAGCTTTTGAAACATTGCGTCGTGAGGTAGTCTGCAATCGCTCGCGTTTTCTCAGGGAGTGGGCTAATACTGTTGCAATCATATCTTGCCAAAAACATCAACGGCACTTTGTCTAGAAGCCCTTGTCGACATTGATTTCAACGCCATACTGAGTAGCGTTCGAAAATCGATGTAAGTTTTGTTAGATGCCCAGCATGATTGGGACGCTACAAGCATATCGTCAGTGCAGGCAAAGACTAAGGACCTGATCGATGAAAATTTTGAAAGTCTGCGGCATGCGGGCGGATTTATAAAGGCGTATTGGTGTGGCTATAGCGAATTTCAGAATATTGCTGAAGGCAACCGAAGTTTCGTAGTAGATCGCACGAGGTCTATCTTAGAGAAAATCGTTTTACTAGTAGACCAGTTGCGAAATCATTGGTGTGGGGAATTGGATATCTGTCGGGGACAGTGGCATTGTTTAGTGCCCGGTAATCTCCACAAGC